CCCCAAAACCCCAAAACCCCAAAACCCCAAAACCCCAATAGAGCATTCATTGTTGAAATTATGAAAATATTCTGAAAAACAACTTATGGAGATTTAAGCGACATAAAGCTTTTCTCTTTGAACTGGCTAGGGCGGTTAGTCCTTGGACTATTTGTTTCTAACTGAAGTCTCTGGTCTTTCGGGAGCTTCAGCATCACATTTGTACCTCTTCTTTCAGCTGTAATTGATATTAGAGAAGTAGATAAAACTCTTACCGTGGAGTAACTCCCCATCAGGAGCAGAATTCTCTTCAATATCTCTGAGTCCTTTCTCTTCTATATTTGCAGTGAGATCAATGGAATTTCAAAGTACTCCAAGCGTCAAATTTTTTGAAGAATAAGCAAAATTTACCTGAAATAGAAGATCTTGGGGAAGAAGAACTAACTTCATCAAGAATATCTTCATGGATTGACATCTTTGCTCCCTTTTCTTCACGAATCGGATATAGAATACTTGCGTTGCTAGACATCCTGATAGACTTTGGCCCAGTCGGAGCTGGCGCTTTTGAGGTGTTGAAGAAAGCACTCATTGCATTCTGGAGGAGAGGAGACGAAACTTTTCTCTCAATATCATCTAAAATCTTAGAAGTTGACCTCTGCTTCTTATAAATATGGGTAGACTTTTTCTTCAACACTGACAAAATAGATAGCTTGATTTGACTCTTTTTCTCTTCTGATTTCTTACTGGGAGAGATATTATCCTCAGAAGGCATTTCTCTCTCTGGGTCAGCAGATTTTGAAACAGGATTTTGTGTTTCTTTCTCAAATTCTTCATCAACAGTAATATAACTTTCAGATGGATCTTCATTTACTACTCTCCAAGTAGTAACTGACTCGACCTTTTTCACACTGCTGTTCCTATAAGGTCTTCCATAATTGAGCATATATTCCTCAAGCGTGAGGTTTGAGATCTCTTTCTCTACAAAAATCAGTTTTGGATATCTTACCGTCATGCTTGCCTCTATCAGAGTCTTGCTGAGGAGATTTAAGGACTACCTCATCCAGCTTTTTATCTTCCTCTTCAATTATTTGAGAGACCCCGCTCTTTTTGGCCGGGGTGAGCTCATCCTTATTATTGAACAACTGAGGATCTATTGGTCAGGACTATTGGCTTACTAACTATCCTATAGCTTCCTCGCTTGGTAGTTCCTGAATTAGAGCTTTCCAAAGTTGTCCCATTGATCAGCCCTGACTTGATGTTCTTCTTAAAATGACTTGGTTTCACAGTATTTGCTGTAAGACTATCGTTAAGCTTCCTGACCAAATTAGGTTTCTTGGCCTTCTTTACAGTAACCTTGCTCTGATGATTACGCTTCTTCATACTATGAGCATTTGGAACCATCAAGCCTTGTTTGTTCAGCTTTGAATTAGACTTCAGCATATTTGACTTTTGGGAAGCACTATCATACTTCCTAAGGTTCTCCTGAAGAGGTAAAGGTGAAGCTCAATCTATCTTTTTAGATCTAGCTAACGACTTCTTCCCATCACTAGCCCTGCTGTTATTACTAAGGCTGATTTTATTTAGGTCTGTGCGAGCTCATCTGAGCCTGATCGTTTAGTCTGATCATTGGCAACTTGAGAGAAGATAATTTTTCTAAAGAATTTAGATTATAAATTTACCCATATTCATATCTTTAGCATCAGTTTGCCTCGTAGTGTTGTGATATCTTGAACTAGTCCCGGTAGCAATGGTCAGGAGCGAGTTCTGCCTACAATCCTTATACCTCCTAGCCAATTTCTTTATCGAATTTTTCTTTGAAACATTCTGATGATATCTGAACTGCTGGACCCTCTTTGACCTTCTCCTTGTCTTCTCCGGAATATTGATCAAATTTACATTTCTAAATAAAGTATAAAATTTTGAAAAAAGCGAACAAAAATTTGGCTTACTCAAGTATAGGCAGTACCTGACCAAACTTTTTCTGATTTCTGAAAAATTATAAATATAAGTGGCAATAATAGAAAGGAAATTTGTTAGGTAAAAGGCCTTATCTTACTTCCTGCTTGTAGCTTTCTGATACACGTTAATAATAGTTTTATTCAAAGATTTTCTATAATATTACATTCAAACACTTGGGTTAATTAACCCAAAACTGTGCTAAGCTATCGTCCAGTGAAATATTTAGTGGTATTGGCTATAATAAGTCTGGAAATTGTTAATGAGCTACCAATGGAATCAATTCAAACCCTGAGTGGTACGGAACTAACAATTCTTTTATAAATAATTCTATTGGCCAGGCAATAATATTCTCGTATAAAGTAAGTTAGGAATCATAATTCGGAGATTACCTTTTCTTCCTGATGATGCTCATTTTGGACCCCTTAGTGGTCCTATACTTGTTCTTAGATGCTCCACTTGGGGCTGGGGAGAAGCTATAGGAATGAGCATAAAATGGTCTGAGCTTATTGATCTGCTTCGATAAAAGTACTTACCTTGCGTTTATTTGAGTTCTCTTTCTCTTGGACTTAAACCTATCCCCCAAGACTTTCATTGGTGAGTAGACAGCGAATACATGGTTATTTGGAACTCTATACGAATAGTTTCAGAATTCTGGTAAAATAGCTCAGAATATTTTCAAAAACAGCCAGAAAATATAAATAGGGTGCACATATGAAGAACACACCAATCCTTTTAAGATAAGTGGAATTTATATAGAAAATTTCTAGCGTGGCTAGCACATGATGGTGAAGCCATTAAAAGCTAGAACTTTCATTTATGCTACCTTAAAGTCCATCCCCTTGGCCTCTCTTCTGCCACGATAAGCTTTATGAGTTCTAGTGCTCTTCCTAGGTTTCCTAGTGATGCTAGTAATAGTGACTATCCTCCTGAGATGCATGTCAGAGTTAGTATTAGCCTGAGACATTTTTATTTCAATAAATATTATATAAGGATCAACTCCTGCCAACCATCTGGGGTTTTGGGGTTTTGGGGTTTTGGGGTTTTGGGG